ACACTATCCCAGCCGACAGACCGAGACACTCAATACAACAGACTCGCCGGAATGGAAATAGAACTTTCGGCTTTTTCGTGTTACGTAAAAGAAACTAACTGTTACACTACAGACGCCCATCAATAAATTACGTATGCAGCTTCAAGCTTTGACAAGTACCAAAAACTACTTCCACGTTGTGGTAAACAACATAAAAACAAGAATGTCTGAGTGATTCCAAAGCCAGGACTTTGACATTGAACAAATGCACACACATCATAATGTTTGCGGACGACAATTCTAGTACTGAACGCATTACTGGTCGTCGTGGTAACGTCCCCTTGAGCAGATATTAGAATATGTCTGGCATCGTGGGGAAACCAGGCGCTCATCAAAATATTGAAATCGAAGAAACCGGCATTTTTTCACCGGTTGGGAATTTTTTGTTGTTGTTATTTTGGGCTCAGCTCCTTCAAATCCATATAAAACATATTTCTGTTTCGATTTTACATGGAAAACGTTGACCAAAGGCACAAAAAAGTGAATCTGCAGCTTCCATGGACATAGCAGCTTTGGGAGTCATCAAACTTTGACGGCCATTTTTTCACCAATTGTGCCTCTGAAACCGGACTACTCACCACGTTCTCCTATTGAAAATATCTTAACTTCTTTTCAAGATAGATACGTACTTTTTCACCAAAAGAAAGGCCAATTAACGGGCTATAAGGATATACCAAGAACTCCATATCGTCAGAAACTGACGAGCGCCTGATTCCACAGTATCGTGACACATGCGTTCGTATTATTCATCGATTCTCTTTTTTCATTCATTGTCACAGTTATGACTCAATTTGCCAGTCTCAAAGTACTTCCAGAGCAGTACTCAGATCTGTTGTTGAGATCCATTAACTTTGTCCGCCTCTGATTTTGCTCTTTTCTGCAAGTAAATTCACTGACAAAAACCTGGGCCTTCAGTATTATAAAAATACCTTAGGCACCTCCAATTTGAACATCTGAAAAGAAATGTATAGATTGTTCACTTTCGTCAGTGTGCAGATAAAACAGGATTAAAAACAGATCGCTCTGTTTAATTTTCTCAGGTTTTGCTTGCGGGTCTAAACGTTGGGATGACCAGTAGAATCAAAAAGCCCATTAATGAAGGCCACAAATAAACTAAAGTTCCAATACGTTCTCTCAGATACATGTATTAGCTTGAAGAGGCCCAAAAATAATAGTGGATTTACAGAATACACCAAAATCATCAAAACGTTTACCTATCTTCATCAACACAAAATTTGAAAATATTTTAACAGACGCCTATGAAACACGGTCCAACAGACGACGAGTATTTACTTTCGAGACTTGGGTGTTGATGTCTTGACAGACATAGGGTGACAAACTGCGTGATCACACTGAGATGTCAGGGTAGGGTGGTGTTGCTCTCTCATAATGAGCAACTTGAGGGTGATGTTACTGTAAATAAAAATTTATTGTAGTGATTCCGTGTACGCAAGCAAAGGGCAGTCTTTAATATAAGACCCATTTTGTAAAAGTTTATTACTGGGTCTGTTGGGTTTCCTTTATTTTTTGCTTTTTCTGGGAGGGGATGTGGTTGTTGTTTGGGTTTTTGGGGTTGCTGTTTTTTTGTTGGGTGTTTTTTTTAGTGGGCTTTTTTTTTGTCTTCTTTTTGGTGGGGGTTGCCTACAGGATTGCAATTCAAAGCCAGGTGCGCATCGGCAAATCAATAATTGAGCAACAATTTTTTTAATGCAGACGGACCAAAGTGAATAAGCCATAGTATGTATATAGTATGTGCCTTTACTGTGCTGGAATTTGAAAATAGAAGTGGATGCAGTGGAATTTTTTAGAAGTTGGGCGGCTCAGGAGAATCAATACCAACTCCCATCTATGGCATAATTTGTCGGTAGCTGTCCACCCCCGACTACGTTGAGCTTTTTAGGTATTATAGAACGTCGTTATCTCCATTTCTGCGTAAGGGTGTTTGGTGACTTTGCCCTACTTTGGTTCACTTCAACGACGTTCCAGCTTGTCCATTCTTCAGAATGATTTTTCGCCTCCCCCCCCCCCTTTCCCCTTGTCGGCATAATTTAGATAATTTCGCTGGCAGGCTCCCGACCCTGCCTGTCAAGGCCAACTGGGGCTCACAGGGATACAACGAACATCTCAACATTATGACCAAGATACTCGATAAAAAATGTGTCCTCACTCGGGAATCGAACTGGGATCTGCTGCATGTGACAGAAAAGTGCCTAAACGCTACACCATAAGCGCAGGTCTCAAAGTGAGATAGACCAACATTTGTAAAATAAAAACCTCAAGCCCTTAATTGTTTTCTCAACGACCTTCAGTTTGACATTCATGTTATTTGTTGCATGAATGCTCATGAAATTTGCTTACTGTGCTTTTATGTTTTTATTAATCTTTCCTGGCCAATGAAGAAAAAAATAAGTAACACATCAGGTTGTTGCAATGTTTTTTCAAAAATCATCACCAAATGCGCAATGACAATGAGTTTTAGTCCGATTCATGACGACTTCATAGGCAACATCTGGTGTTTGGCAAAAAGTCTAATAAATTCCATGTTAAGCTTTAGGGAAACTATTTTTCTGCGAAAAAAATCAAGCTGCAATTTTAGTTTCAGACTTTGTGAGATGCCTCAATACGCGGACTTTGATCCTTTGGAGAACATTGTTGTCTATAAAACTTTAGTACATGTATATGCTGAAATGATCAACAGTGGTAATATTACTGTATGTAAAACTAGCGTCGCTTCAGTTTGTAAACGGTCCTGATCTCGAAACGTGGAAAGAGCTGGTCAAATCGCTCTTGCAAGAACAAAAATAATCTGAAATATGTCGAGCAACTACCTCTACAACGTTTAGTAATTGACTTCTCATTTAAACCTCAAACTTTTTCGTAATCAGAGTGAAATGCATCGGGTATGGGAGTCGTTGATCCATGCTCTCCTAATCAATTTCTGTCGCCAATTATTAGATTTCTTACGGTAGCTGCCCAAGTTCTGTTAGAGTACGGGTGTATTAAGCGCAACTCTTTTCTCAGGAATCTAATTTTCATTCTCGATAAAGAACGTGCATAAACAAGTCAGTGAAGGTTCAAGGTCACTGCCAAATCGATTAGGGTCCATATTATAATCTTTATTCTGCCTCTACCATAGTCCGTAATAATTATACCTTGTTACACGACAGTGGCTTCAGAGTTCTCGACTGTATTGCGGAAACAGATATTTCCGGGGTTTTGTAACACTGAGAAGTATCAGGGCCGTGTACCGATCTTTCCGGGTTGCCTCCGCTTCATCTATTTCGTTTTCTTTGATCTCATATCTTTAAATTAATGCAAATGCACCTTAGACCTGGATCTGATTTGTTTCAGGTTTTCTTTAATCTGTCACTATGTCTTCTTTCTTTGTTCCTTTCGATCTAGATTTGTTCGTAAGTAAATAGATGTTATGTATGATATTAAATAGGTGAAAGATATATGATGTGTGAAAAGAAGGCAGGATATATTATAAATGCAAACAGTATAAAAAATTTTAAAGATAAATGTGTAGACATAAATAGTGAATAGATCTAGGATAAATGTGCAGTATACACTTCTTCTTTTGGTATAGTATCTGCCCTTCTGTCATCAATATCTGATCATTGCTTCCATTATTAACACGATCCTCACAAGGGTGGGAGAACTGGCAGGTTGATTAATTGATAACTACATGTGCATTGCCTGATTTGACTGGTGCTCTGAGGTTGCCACTGATAAACTCTGTTTCGTGATTCTCCCTAGGTAGTTTTTCTATCGGTCTAGCTTGTTCCTAGCTCTCGAAAACTGTTATTTGATCGATGTGCCTCTCTTTTCCAGGACTATAAACTAGACTTTTATTACTCTGTCCCTCTCCCCCCCTCTCTCTCTCTCTCTCTCTGTCTCTCTCTCTCGCCAGGTTAACAGCTTACTGTACCTCTTCCTCTATTTCCAGTTGATCTCCAATACCATGTCTAATAGGATAATCTTGTCTCTGGCATTTTCAAAACATGTCCTAAGTATCTCCATCTTCTCTTTTTTTGCGGTCGTGTTGATACCTTCAATTACAGCTCCTTCCCACACGTCCTTTCACTTCAATTGAAATTCCTGTGTCAGTGGGTGGCTATGATCTCTTACCATTATCTCTGCCTTTTTAGAACGTTTGTTTTGTGCAGGTGTTCAAAGTTACTTAGGTCTCTATCAATTGTTCTTGATGCCTTTCTTATCAACTTTTTTGGGGGGTTTTTACTATGCGCTGTCTTTCCGAATTGCTACCATAAAAAGAGATGAATTTTTGGTATCTCTTGCTATGGTAGTAATTTGGGAAGACAGCACATCATAAAAGTAAACAAGTTGATCAGAAAAGCATCAAGAACAATTGGTGGAGAACTAAGTAACTGTGAATATCTGCACAAAACAAACGTTAAAAAAAAGGTGGAAATCATGCTAAGTGACCATAGTCTCCCACTGACATCGGAATTACAATTATCGACCCGCAGCAAACGCTACATTTTAATTTATTTAAAAAGAACCGACAGATATAAACATTCATTTGTCCCAACTGCAGTGAGGTTACTGAACACACAGTGCTACAAATGAAACAGAGAGAGAGATATAGGGAGAGAGAGAGAGAGCGAGCGAGCGAGAGAGAGAGAGAGAGTGTGTGTGTGTGTGTGTGTGTGTGTGTGTGTGTGTGTGTGTGTGTGTGTGTGTGTGTGTGTGTGTGTGTGTGTGTGTGTGTGTTACGGAGCGGGTGTTTCAGCACGTGAGATATGTATTAACTAACGTCCTGTCTTGTTGTGCGTAAGCGTGAGTGACATCCACTGCCATTGTAAGCAACCAAGACAAATTTCTCCCTGCTAAATGAATAAAGGTTGTCATTGTCATTAACTTATAAGTGATACATTCATTGCATTTTATTAATAAAACTGCAACTGAACACTAAATTCCTGACTCTTGGTTCCCAGCGACCTGTGCGGTGACTGGTATGTGGGAGTCCATTGTGATCGGCGCGATCGGCGCCTTGCTGTGTCTGAGCAGCGACAGCCTGCTGGCCAAGCTTCGGATAGATGACCCGGTCAGCGCTGTGAGCGTCCACTGGGTGTCTGGCTTCTGGGGCCTCCTGGCCGCGGGGCTCTTCACTCACAAGGACACGGTGGCTCAATTTTTTGCCAACAGACACGGCCTCGTCAAGGTAGGACATACTGGCGTCTATGGTGCGTGTTGGGTGCGTCGATGTTGCACGCAGGAAACTCGAGTTCAATTCCTGAGTTGAGCATAATATTTTCATTGAGTATCTCGGTTATTCTGCTAAGATTTGTTATCTATCTCAGCCTGGGTTGGCCCTTTAAAAAGCCCGCCTCTTAAATGGTCTTAATTTTGATTGTGTCGTAAAAATACATACATTTAAGACAGTTTAGTTTTAGTAAGAGTTTTATGCGGCACATGGAACACAATAGGTCATAAACGTGCCAAAGGTTAGAGGTGTTACAAGAGAGTAACACACGTAAAAAGGAGGGGAGATAAGGAAGATAGATGTTGGATAGCAAAGAAGGAGCAAACCACACCAGAGCACCCGCAACCACCCGCATACATTTATGACATTACGGTAGGGCACTGGGTGCTGTCTAAAAAGGGAGACTTACGGGAGGGAAGGGCGGTTTTTGACTGCAGGTAAGATGCGTGTCTCACATGCCGAAGTACCTGGTTCGACCTCTGTCCATGCTGGCATTTGGAAAAGAAGGCCTTTTGTCTCATAAAAGACACATTATGTGTGTAAGTTTGTGTCTGTATCTGTCTGAGTGTGTGTGTGTGTGGGGGGGTATGTGTGTGTGTGTGTGTGTGTGTGTGTGTGTGTGTGTGTGTGTGTGTGTGAATATCTGTTCATTTGTTATTTTAGTTGGTAAGTTGGTTAGTTGGTTGTTTTTTTTGCTTGTTTGGTTGGTTTGTTGGTTAGTTGGTTAGTTCGTTAGTTCGTTAGTTTATTAGTTAGTTAGTTCGTTAGTTAGTTAGTTAGTTAGTTAGTTAGTTAGTTAGTTAGTTAGTTAGTTAGTTAACAAAAGTAATTGTAGCTGAGATAACCGTTCCCCACTTTTATCACAAGGGAGGTAACTTCTACCTTCTGGGGGTCCAGACGTTGGCAGCAGTGGCCATCACAGCCTGGTCTGCTACCACCTCCGCCCTCATCCTCAAAGTGATTGACTTGACCGTGGGCCTAAGACTGTCAAAGGAAGAGGAGGAACTGGGAGCCGATCTCATAGAGCACAACATCGGGTAAGTGTTACTGGAGAAATTGCAAAGAAGAACGGATTTGTTTCCATTGGAAACATGATGATATTATTATTTTGTGTAGTGTTGTCGAGAACAGGGAACAAAATTATTTTTTGTTTGTGCTGTTTGTGTTTGGTAAGGGGGAATCGGGGACTGTGGATAGCTTGGGGTGGGGGTTTTTTGTTGGGGGAGGGGTTGGGTGTTGTTGGGTTTTTTTCTTTTTTATGAGCGTTGGTTGGTTGATTGAAGCTTTCGCTAAATCTGCCAATATTTGCACAAATACATTCCTCCTAAATTTTGCTTAATGTCTCAATCCCCAAAAAAGCGCCATGGGTCTGTCCATCACGACAGACGCACACTTGAAGAAAAAGATTCACTACTCACTCATGCTTCAAGCTGACTTTGCACGATAAAACACAAAAGTCAATTACTTTCCTTTTCACCTCTTTTTCTTTTCTCCTTTCCTGACAAAGAAGAAATAAGGCAAGAAAGAAATTATTGAAGACTACAAGAGGCTTTCTCCAAGAAGAATTATGCCTGAAATGTACAGGTTAATTTCTTGTGATGAGGTTGACGTTTCTCATTACTATATATTACATATAT